ACTGCACTCGTGAATTATTGTAAAATATGTATGAAAAAAAGTGTGAAATGTCATAAGATCAGACATAAAATAGTGGGTTTAACATCAAAATGTATTGTCTGATGTTAAAAAAGTATATGTATATGTTTACCTTGGTCAGTTTAAGGATAATTCATGCAATTTTATAGTATTTATTTGAAAGAATTAAAACAGATTCACGTCTATCCTTGTATTATTCAGCTGGTTGAGATTGATATGGGATTTTGAAAGTAATTGGTAATTAAAAGTAATTAAATACTTTTTAAAGAGGGTAATTAGTACAGTAATCCAATTACACTGTTGAAGAGGTAATTAGTAATTAATTAACTTAAAGTGTATACATCTGGATGGAGCAAGCAGATGTTCACATTAAATATTGTATATATTGTACTAAACATATACAGTATATGATATTTTATATAATGCCCAGCAGGTTGCATACATATCATACAACGCATTCTCACCCCAAGGCGTCACCTTTGACCATGCTTCAATATTTGACGTTTTAGGCGCCCTTTAGCGTCACTTACATGACGCGATCCTACGGCTTCATCTAACTGACGCTAAAGGAAAGCGTCAGTTAGAGGACGCGATTAGGTTTAGGTGTGGGGTGGGGGTAGGGTACACGCGATCCTAGGGCGTCATCTAACTGACGCTAAAGGGCGCCTAAAGCGTCAGATATTGAAGCATGTCCAAATGCTTCCCAAGGCGTCAGTTAAGTGACGCCTTGGGGGTGAGAATGGGCTGTATCATAAGGATATTGATCTAAAAAAAAGTATAGATCAATATCCTTATGACAATAAGGATCAGTATCCTTATATAAAATCACAAACATCCGATGATTTCATTGCTAAGTGAGTTACAAGCATTCTTGTGCATAGGGATGTGCTTTCTAATAATATTGTTTAACTTGTTGAATCCATTTATTTTTAACCTGCTGATACATGTTACAAGTCTTTAAATGATTGCTTACCACATTTTCCGCCACTATAAAGTTATAACACCTTGTGATGCCAATGCGTTACTACAGTATGACTTCATTGCTGGCATACAGCAGGAAAGAAACTGCACTCATCTTGCCAGTAAACTCCATTATTATAAGTAATGTAAGGGGCCAAAAAGTATCAGGATTCTTAAGTGATTCAGATGAGGTGAATCCTAATCAGCTCTTTTCTTTCACTGCGCATATAAAAAACACTATAAAAATGTAAATAATAGATCTAGACTCCCACAAAGTTTGAACAGTGGCATGCTTGGGAGGAGGTGATGGTTTAATCATAGCTTACTGTCAGCATGTATCACGATTGTAGGTGTGTCTCTCTCTCACCTGCCATGCAGCAATATGGAGGTGGAGGAGACGGACGCAGGTAAGTGAGGTGAGAGAAACCGTACCGCGGAATGACATTCCCTCGGTTTTCATCAACCATCACTAAACCTCAATGAGAAACTAATATCATACACTTCAGACTTAGTTTCCTTTATCACTGCCTGACAAGATTTCTGTTTCACTTAAACACAACAACTTACAACAGGGTTCCCAGTGAATTCCCACGACCTTTTGTGATGAATGTTTTTGCATTTATTATTGTTTTGATTCAGACTCATTCACTAATTAATCAGGTCTGAACGATTCGGTGAAAAGAACTCGTTTCACTCAAAATTTCTCACTTGCAGAAGATTATAATCTACACTCCCGTTCAAAAGTTTTTTAATAAAAGAATTACTTTTATTCAGCAAGGATGCATTAAATTGATCATTTATAATGTTTCTATTTCAAATTAATGCTGTTGTTTTGAACTTTTTATTCATTAAAGAATCCTGAGAAAAATGTATCAGCATTTCCACAAAATATTAACTGTTTTCAACATTGTTTCTCGAGCAGCATATCATCATATTAGAATGATTTCTGAAGGATCACATGACACTGAAGACTGGAGTAATGATGCTGAAAATTTAGCTTTGCACAGGAATACTTATGACATTTTAAAATATTTTAATAGAAAATATTTCACAATATTGCTGTTGTTACTGTATTTTTTTATCAAATAAATGCAACCTTGGTGATGAGCCTAGTGAGATTCCTTTAAAAACATTCAAAAAAAATCTTACCGACACCAAACTTTTGAACAGTAGTGTACTGATTAATAGTTTTACAGCATGCATAACTAAATAAAGTTAAATTCCCTGACGTTTCCAGGTTTACGATGACCGTGGGAACCCTTTACAAACATTGTTGCATGCGCATCTTTCACATCTTTCAGTGTATTTTTGAATTTAGTTTTAAAATCCAATTTAATCATTTAAATGAAGTTTTAGGAGTTAAAAAATAAAGATTAAAACAAGAAGGAAAAATTATAAGAAATATTAAAGATTACCCTTCCTGTTCCCTCAATCAGATTGGCAACATCCCGCAGCAGAACCGTGTCTGAGGATGCAGCTGTGAGTCCGGTAGAAGATCATCTCCTGTCCTTCAGCAGTGAGGACTCAGACTGAACACACACACACACACACAAATCACTCTCACCAGCCTATCAGAAAGTGAAACTTATGCCTCAGCGATGGACTCACTCACACCACTGCCACTTAAAACAGCAAACAATACCACAAAAAAAGCATCACAGACGTGCATGATTCAGCTATATAACTTTTGAATGCCAATGTACTTGCATTATAACACTATAAGTTCAGGGTAAGAACTTGACAATACAACATGTATGAAACCGCATGTTGTTACAGTATATTGTACTCAAGCATTTGTGTAAGTAGATTTGCTACCTGTATAATGTAAATCTTTTCAATGAATTGGTGCTATATTGTAGATACTTTGGTTGTTATTTAAATATACAATAGCTACAAACACTGTACTTGAAAGGGTGACCAAATGTACATTCCACAAAACTGATGTTTTTCCTTCAGCCCAGCATTCTTCAAGACTCCCACAGCATTCATCGGAAAGTCAGATTGCATGGTTCATTTCAGTCGAGTGCTTTGTACTCTCAGTAAAGTGTTACAGGATGTACAGTACTAGATCCGCATGCGTTAGCGAACTTTAGACGCGCAGTTACACACTCTAAACGTTTACAAATAAGTATGTACTGTAGAGCTGTTCAGGACTAACATGTGGGTTAGGGGACGTTTGCTTAAACAATCATTAAGAAATTATTTTCTGTCCCAGAAAGCAACAGTGTCGGCACAGATCCGACCCACATCTGGGCCGTGTGCACCAGATGTGGGCCGGATCTGGGCCAACACTATGTTGCTGTCTGGGGTGGATCAAGTAATTTTTAAATATTTTAATGAGGCCTCAAAACACATCAGATTTCTTTCTTTTTTAGGATCCAAACTATCACAGTATAAAAGCCTCTCACTATGGGCTTCCAAGTGTTACACTTATTATTATTATTATTATTATTATTATTATTATACATTCACATAAGCTTGTCATCAGTTAAAATTATTTTTAACTTTGTTTTAAATATATGCAACTTCTTAATTTGAGGACTGGACTGTTTTTTTTTTTTATGAACCCTCTTTTTTTATTTTTTTTTATTTTTTATAATTCAGCTAGACAATGTCACGTCACACAAATTATGTCAAAATCATCACTGATTTGCTTTAACTTTGGGCAGACAATCATCACACATTCATTTAGCAAAAATAAATGCAATATTCTGTCAAATAGAAACTGGTAAGTTTCTATTTGAAACTTAAATTCAGATTTAAGTTTGAACTTTGTAAGTGCTGAAGTAAAGAATATTACACTTTGGCTCTCAGAAATCTTTTCCCCATGAGTTCCATCAGTCTCTAGCATCTAGCGTTACATGTAATATACTGCCATTCTGCCCTTTTTAAGTGATATTAAACACAGAAATCTCTTCTTCATCATTTAACATTCCGTCTTAGAGCCTCAGTTGCTCTGCCAGCTTTTTTCTCCTTTGTGCATTTTTGAACATGCAGTATTTCTTCTCGACAATACAACATTTTTGTTTGTTACATTTTCTATCCTCCTAAAAGTGGGATAAGTTTCATTTAATTTGATAGATATACTGTAATATCAGTATATACTGTAGCTAAAGTTCTTAGTTCAGTTAGTGGTGTTCTAGTTATTTTGGTTAATCATATTGAAACTATCAGTGGTTTAATAATTAATGTTTGATTTGATTTGACTGCTAATTAATTTCAAATAATCACTGTTTTCTGTGGAAGGATTTGAGACACTTTCAAAGTATTTAATGATTGGAACAACCATAGTAAAACAAAAATATGTATATAATATCTGAAATGGTTCCTAAAATATTGTGTAGATTGTCTCTATAATGTGTGATTGTCTTTATAATGGGTTTTATTTGATTAATATTTTGTAAAGTAAGAAATCAAAGTTGGTGCTTTAAGAAAATCTATGCAATCTATGTTTTGCTTTGTACACATACTAATTTTATTATGTAATCATGAAACCAGAATGGAGCTCAAGAGGTAATTTGCATATGTACAGGAACAATTGGTTGATATTTAATTATGTAGAATAAAATGTTTGCTCAAAAACACCAAAGTGTCATATCTTGTGATTTTAGTAAATGGAAAAATTGCCAAATATTAGACCAAATAATATTTTTATATACTATAGTTCAACACATTGGGTTTCTATTTTGAAAATATTGTTCATTTGATTGATTCCCTAAAGTTTTATTAATATTAATTACTCTGAAATGTACTTTGCTTGGGGATTGACTGCACCAATAAATGAGATCCCACTCCATTAGCATGTTTTTGTTGAAACAAACAATATATAGGTTTCTGAATAGTATTTCTTTCATCAATTCATTCATTATCTTTATTAAAACTGATATGGAGAAAAAGATGATAACACAATCATCTAATTAGGAGAATAAACATGAGATTAAGAGCATAAAAATCATAAAATATGCATGCACTTTTCATCATGAGGTTTAGGGTGTCTTTATACTCTTAATAACAAACAATAATTCAGTTAGGATATTGTTTTTTATTGTTTTTTTTAATTCAGTCAGGATATTGTTTTGTTTTGTATACAACACAGTGAGATTAGCAATTATGTACTGTACATTGTTCAGTCTGGCAGGGTTTTAAGATTAGCATGTAGTGGGCAGAAAAATGGGCAAATATGCATATTTAGAATACAAAAACAACTAGTTAGGAGGATGAAGAGATGACAAGCGGAGAGATTTGGCGTCAGTCTGTTCCCAATAATAAGCAGCTCAGACACAATTCCACTAGTTTTACTGGGTAATAAAAACAAGAGCACAAGCTTAATTTAATGACCTGCACACATCCTGTACACATCCTATCTGACTCAAAAGAAATACATGCAAAAACCAAACACAAGCTAATAAAGAGTAGAAACCCTGTCATACTGCAACAGTACCATATCAAAAATACACTTTCCTTCCTTTCTATACAAGAGGAAAAAATCCCCGATTTAATCGGATATATTGCAGGAAAGTTTTGGGTATTCTCCATCCATCACACAACACAGGCATCCAGTCATATACGCAATATGATATTTACAGTCCCGGTGGATTGCTTTAATATACGTGCGTATGGGTGGGCCGATATTGAGGTGTAGCTGATGTGCTGCTCCATGAGGATTCTTGACTGTGTTATGATGGAAGGGCCGATAAACCGTCATCCTGATACGGCGGATGGTGCGACTGACATCATCGAAACTCCCATCACACCTCAATGATGTTGATAGATGGCACAGACTGGTGGAACTGCAACAGACAGGAGGACAAAAAAAAAAACAGAAGAGTGATTCTCCTCCGAGGGGCCCGTTCATCAACGCCTACAATCGTTTTGGACATGATGGCTTCCTGGATGGATAGACCTCCACTGGATGTATTTGTAGCTTGAGATTTATGTATATATGGCTGTGAGCACTACAATGTAATGCACACAGAGACGAATGAACATCATTTTGCTCTGTAGTAGTGCAATATGTCGAAATGAAGGCCATTAGGGTCTTGGCGCAGGGGGTGACATCACATGGCCTGATATTGATTTTATCACACGTCTTAAAAGGGCTGATTTTTTTTTAACGTGTTTTAAGGAATAATGGTGGCACATAATGGAACGGCTGAAATGTGAAACATCTTTTCTTGCTTCATCACTTTGAATTTCCAACACAGAGAAAGTCACTAGTGCCAAGTGAAAAGCTACAGGAACATGAAGGCTCAAAGGCACATGCTGGTTTTCCTGAGATGGTTCATCATAGAAGTAGGCCAGTAGCTCTGGCATTTGATCCAAACCACTTATTATGCTGAAAAATGTCTCTGATTCTAAAATTAAGTTTCATGCACACCATCTACTCAAACTGAACCCTTCCAAGCTCCTAAAGGTAATAAAATACGCTTTATTTCATTCTTCTGTAATTGTTACTCTAATATCAGGGGATGTTTTCGAGACAGGTAGAGATCCATCCATGTTAGATATAGATCCGGGTCACTAAAGAGGGCACAATGCAGCGTGTTTCACGTGTTTTTTTAATAGCAAATGCATCCATTTGTGCGCACATGGGCGTGCTGGTCTGAAAAGGTGTGCTCTGGCAGTTGGCGCTTTGCAATTTTGAGGCAAAAAAATAAACTGCCTTATTGACCAACTAAAACCTGTTTTTGTTTTTGCACGTTACGCCCAAAACACACCCATAGCTTATTAAAAGAATAGAGACTACCCTTTAAGACCATGCGCCGACCATTTTCCCCATCGTTAAAGTCCCTGTAAAGGCAATTCTACAAAAAAAAATCTTTTTTTTCTTTTTTATGGCAAATTAGCAAACAGTAACACATACCAGGTAAGAAATCAGTGAGACACATCTACAATACAGAAAGAGGAAAAAAAAAAAAAAAAAAAAAAAAAAAAAACCCACAAAGAACAGAAAAATACAAAACAGCCCCACACACTCAGACAAAGTGGTATATGTAGGCAGTAGGCACACAAGATCCTTTCTTTGACGCAATTCGGTAGTATCAGAATAGTTGTAGGGGGGTATAATAGTGACTTTGACAAGGTCAAATATATATATATATATATATATATATATATATATATATATATATATATATTAGTATTAGTGGTGGTAGTATCAATGATAGTATTTATAATGATAATATTCATGACAACAATCGTAACATAGGCTCAATCTACAACAGTACTGACAATAGTACTATGAAAAAAAAATACTATATTTAATCTCATTGTACATCTGCTCTAAACTCTAGGTCAGACGACTGATCTAAAACTGCCAGTGAGTACAACCAACAGACCCCCCAGACTCAGACATCTCCCCTCGATTCCATAACTCCATTCCCCTCCACCGCCACCAGCGACACCCAACCCCCGTCACTAACATTCTGAGCTACGTTGCGTTACAAAAAAAATTCTTAAACACATTATAAATGTTAGAAATGTATTGCTAAAACATATTACAAAGACTTTGAACAGTGAAGTACTGAAATACGGAGTTAGACCGTTAAACAGTTTTTCACCATTGCTATTTTCCGATTTTTTTGGCGGGGCTAAAACGGGGGCTCGATGACACACTGGAGCCCCTGAGCTCCTGGACACGCCCCTACTTGATGACGCACTGAAGCCACTGCAGCTGGCCCCTCCCCTAACAATAGAGCACATTCACATCAGTTCGCCGCTCAATCGCGAGCTACTGTCAGTACTATTAGTTATTATAGCCTATAGTTTGCTAGCTAGCTATGCCTTCGACGCGGTATGCATAGGATACTACCTGGATGTGATTATGTACACAACAGATAGGTGTTTTTATTTAAATTTCCTAAAAACGACCACATCAAGAAGAGGTGGATTAATTTAGTGAAGAGCCACCTTGATGGAGAGCTGTGGATCACCGCCGACACCCACCTCTTTAGTGATCATTTTACACGGGATAGTTTTATAAACTTTCGTCGGAGACAACTGGGATTCACTGATAATCCGCTGTTACTGGGTAATGGGGCTGAACCGACTATCTCCCGCCTCAGTGTTCATCCTCCCGTCCCGAAAGCAGTATCAGCTTATATTACCGTCGGCAGCTTTCCCTCAAGTGGGCGTGGTTTCAGAGCAGCCATTGGACAAGCCCCCAGCTTTTGAGAGCAGAGACTACTGCTCATTTTTTCAAGATTTTGATAGCTTATTTTAAGTACCTGCCAGCTTTTTTATCATATAAATCATATCTTTTTTTATCACATACTCACTTTTGACTTTACAGGGACTTTAAACTAGCAAAAGTGTATTTGGACACACTGCGCTTGCGCCGTGGGCTTTAGACCATTAAAAAAGGCCCTTAAAATTATTGTTTTCATAATGTCAAATTTCTTTGTTTTCTGTATCAATGTTTCCTGCACTGCTTTTCATTCTGTTGAATATTTAGTAGTACGGTAAAAAAAAAAATCATATTTTACCTTGAGTTGTGAGTTTTTATTTAATCACAGTCTTTTTTTGAATTCAATAAAAATACTTTGTTCTGAAAAATGACAATAAAAGGTCTTCAGTTGGATTGTCCTTGAAGGCTGCATGCAAACACTAAACTCAACAAGCGTAGTCCGATTCATGAACTAATGAATCAAAAACATAGTGCAAAAAGTGTAGGCTTATTCTTATACGCCGTTTCTTTTAACTACAAGTTCAAAAAGATAGCCATTTTACAACACGCCTGAGATATGCCTAAATGAATCAGAATCAAATAATTTCAAAAGAATCTGAAAATCTGTATCGAAACCCAGTCTGACTTATTTTTTATTCATAAACAAAAATGATTATTCTGGGACACTGACATACTTTCTCTAGCAAACCACTCAGCATCACAGTGAATTCTAGCATTGCCTGTGCAAATATAGAGTAAAGCTCCATAGGCTTAGTTGATCTTGCAAAACTTTTACAACAGAGAGCTACCCTGAAGCCTTTCACATGAGTCAGGGTTATGCAGGCCATAGTGTTCTCTCTCATCCCTCATTGCTGGCAGGTTTCATCCGACAAATAACAAAAAGGTTTGATCAATCAGTGGCTTTCTCAATTCCGCAGTTCCTGGGCAGACAATCTTTGTGAAAAGTGAGATGGATAGCAATCTAATGCTTTCCTGCTTTCTGTCTTATTCTTTCCGCAGGTGTTAAAGTGATCAGGTTGTTTTTCCTTGTCCTCTTGGCTTGAAATGCTTATTCTACGCTTTTCATTTAGAGATAATGAAATGTTTCAGGAAATGTAATTTCACCTCAATCTGTGTTTTGAAAACGAGGAATTGTGGGGGAAAGCACTGCAAAGGTGTTTTGCACTGCAATTAACTTTTAAACAGAGATATCTAATTTATAATCAGGTTTAAAATCTGTTACAGCACATTCGTTTAAAGGCTAATATTACATTTATTCAAGCAAGGACGATATCCTTCGCAATGAAGAGAAATATTTTTCTGTCATGACAACTCTCGGAGTGTTTGGCATTGTTATAGATATGACAATCCTGATATGTTTGGTCTTTTTGGAATAGATCTGCTACGCTGCTGCAGAGCGAATGCTACTGCCAATACACACACGACACACTGCTGTGTAAGACATGCTGCTGCTGTACAATATAGCATACATGAATTACCCATAGTAGATCTATACAGGTAGAGCTCGGGAGGGTGGGGGGTTTCTGAAAGCACGCTGTACTGCTAAGGCAAAAGCTACCGAAGTATTTGAAGGTTGAGCAGCAAGCTCATTGGTTACCGATACGGCAGAAACCAATCAGCTGTGCCTACTGATTATGAACAAGTGAGTAAAAGGACCTATTAGCCAGCACCATCTAGAGTTTCATGACAGAACTTACGTGTTCAAATGTCACTATTTATGACTCTACATGATGAAGACATGTTTTCAAGCAAAATGAAATTAAATTTGACTTCATAAGAAGTCACATGGACTGCTTTTATAAGGGTTCTTGACCTTTTTTTTTTTGTTTGACATCCCTTGGTTTATCTTCAATTTCATTGTACAGGAAATATACTTGTTGATTCTCACTCTGTGTTCCATGTGGGTTTAGAATGACACAGTAAGTGACAAACGGGATTTTCCTCTTTCTTTAAAAGGGACGTGTGGTTTAGACAAGACGTTGAGTTGAGAAAGATTCCCACCTTGCTCCGCAGTAGACCTCCGCTGTGGTGCTCTGGTGTGCTTCTCTCTGAAGATGGTTTTGCCTTCTCTTTGCTGTTGCTGGAATCGTTGTCCTTTATTATGTCATACTGCCGGCAAAACAAGGCAATTACGGCTGTAGAAACAGAAAAGAGAGAGTTGTCATACTAATGTAACTCTACAAAGCTCTGGGGAGACAAGACAGACTGATAGGTCTCATAGAGTCACTGAAGCATCCAACCCTTTAAGACACAAACGCTTAAGAACCACTAAATTGTAACCATGTTACCTCCATTTCACCTCTGTCTTGGCCCATTATCTTAAGTAGTTCAGCACTTTCAGCAAGAATACAACTCAAGTTTGAATCTTATAGGGTCAGTAAAATACATATTTTTAAAGAAATTAATACTTTTTTTCAGCAAGGTTGCATTAAAGGGATTCTATGCAGTTTTTTAGCTTAACTGAAAAAACTCAAGAGTTATTGAAATGGTTATACGTCTTCTTTCGGGTCTCTATAGCAGTGTTCATTTCAACGTTCATCATTCATGTTCATTCTTACATCCACCAACAAAACACCTCAATCGTTTAAGAGATATTCTTGTTTACAGCTGCTCCGGTGTCAAAACACTGGTGGACTGTGTACGGCTTACTCAGGGTGGGTCTATGATAAAACTGCAGTGTCAGCCAACAGTTGTGGGAGGGGCCTGTGCAAAAGTCCATCACATTGCCCTGAATCTGATAACGGCTTGTTCTGAGACAATGCTTATGATTTATGTGAATTAAAAAAAGCACTTAGCTTATTTTTATCATTATAGGGTGGTTGTGTACACACACATTTATATTCAAATGCCATTTAAAAGTGTATTTTGAATAATAGGTGCCCTTTAACAACGTCATTGACCATTTCGGTCTGATCTCAAAACAAAAAACTGATTCTTTAATCATAAGGGTCAGATAAAGGGTGCCATGAATATTTGAGTAAAATCTAAACATTGTAGGTGAACTTTAGCAACAAAACGAAATTATACGGAGTTGACATGTTCATTATTTAAAGACGTCAAAAGCTTAGTGGCAATTTTTAAATGGGTTCTGTTTATATCGGTTCAATTATATATATATATATATATATATATATATATATATATATTAGGGCTGTGCAAAAGTTAATTGTGATTAATCGCATACAAAATAAAAGTCTGTGTTACATAATATATTTGTGTGGGCTGTATATAATTATTTTCTACAAATAAATACCTATGCATGCATGTATATATTTAAGAATTATTTGCGCTTAAATTCTGTATATATTTATAAATACATAATCTATATTGTATAAATATAAACATTTTATATATGAATAACACATTTTCTTAAATATATACATGCATGTGTGTGTATTTATATAGACAAAATAATTATATACAGCACACACAAATATATTATGTAAACACAGACTTTTATTTTGGATGCGATTAATCGCAATTAATTTTTGCACAGCCCTAATATATATATATATATATATATTGCATTTTTAAGTGTAAATCCAGGTTGACCAAGTGTTTAACTCAGGGAAGGGGCTGCCCCTGATTTTCATGTTGCACACGTTCATCATCCTCTGGATTGTGGGGGCAGTCAGAATTTCTTTCAGTAGTCAAAGCCCAGCGGTGCGAAGACATTCCTTGTTTCCTGAAGTGACAGTTGCAATTGAGCGCATGAATTATTTTGTGACAGTGAGGCAGACTGTCTCAGTGCCTTGCGTAAGGAGAGAAGTGCTTCTATTTCCTGTGCCCTTGTTAAAATTCAAGCAGTACATTTCATATTTTATCAGTTTAATGCATATTATGGTTTCGTAAGGCTTTTTAGGGCTGGCATACATAGTGGAATTTCAAGTACAATTTAATTCAAGTGATGTTAAAATGATTCAGGTGAAAAATTAAAAACCATTAGCAAATCAAAGAAAAAAAAAAATGATCCGCTCTCTCTCTCTCAGACTCATCTCTCTCGAAGTTTAATCATTTATGAGGTGATGTTTGCAAGCATGTCTTTTCTCAGTAGATATAAACGATCATGAAAGAATCCTTAACAGGCAAATTTCTTTTGAGCTGACATTAGTGTCTCACCTGCCCACATTAGAAGCACCACCACAATGATGATCATCTCCCCTGTCTGCAGCTGTCGAGCTTTATCCAGGCCTTGGACTGTTGGGTCATCTGTTAAAAGACAGAGGATCAACTGTGAGTGATTGTACTGAGAACTGAATGCAAAGGTGATAGTCATCGCTGATCCAACTGCTGGACAGTTTTTATTCTTGTGAATCAGAAAGATTCTCATGAATCAGAAATTGATTTTAAAAATTCCATGCACTATGGTTTAAAAGTTTGGGGTATTTTCATGGAAGGCTTGATAGAGTTTTCTTATGGTTTATTAGAAAATAGATAAAGAATTGAAAATACTCATTTTGACCATCAGGGCATTAATTAAGAAGTTCCAATCAATTAAAGAGGACGTGTGTATATATTGTCTTAATGCACTTTGAGTGGCCAAAGACTCTTCAAGGATCACTGATGAAAAATTGCAGAGATGACTTGTCTTGGGGTTCTTGGGGGCCAGAAAGCCTAAAAAAAAAAATCGATCAAACAATCCCTACATCCCCACATGTTGTTTGGGAGGGTTTCAAGAAAAATCCTCCTTGTTCCACCAAAAAAAAAAAAAAAAAAAAAAAAAAAAAAAATCCAAGTATATTCAGACACGACTGGAAGTTCAAAAGGGACCGGCATTATGTGGTCAGATGAAACTAAAAAAAAAAAAGGGGCTTTTTGGCAGCAACCAGATGTGTTTGGTCCAAACAGGGATAAAAAAGTACTCCATGCCTACAGTTAAATATACTGCTGGATCTCATATGTTGAGATCCTATTTTTCTGCTGGAGAGAACATCTTCCATCAGGACAACAGTCCAAAAGAAACATCAAAATCAACACAAAAACGTGACCGGTGTATGTAATGAGGCAGACGAAAAACCCCAAGTTGTTCACACCATTTGTAAGTGTCGGAAGCAAAGAGGAAAGATCCTTTAAATGTCCTGAGATGAACAGCAGAAAATTGCAAAACCATCTCGGGAAATGTACTTTGTTTATTCTCATCAAAAAACAGCAAAAAACAAAAAAAGACCAAAAAACAAAACCTGCAAGTGGATACGTGACAACATGACCAGTGATGACCAGTTCGATCAACACAACAGTTTATCGATTTGACTGCATTAGCCAGAAATGTGGCGTAAACCACAATCCACAGAAGGGAAGGCTATACCAAGGATGTTACACCACAAAAGACAAAGAGAGCTGAGACTGATAGTATCAGATGTCGAGATGGATGAAAGGATAGGAATGGAGAGGGCTCGCAGCCGATCTGTGTGTCAGGATCACAGAGACAGCCAGGTCAGTTATTGTCAAGTTCTGTGTGTTTTTTAATTGATTACAGCTCAGCCCAAACTTGAAAACTGCTTTTCTCCCTGAAGAACACAAAGGACAACTCAATCTGTTCACTTCTTGATTCTTTATTTTCTTTGAGATGGTTTGATAAGACCAGTGATGGAATAATATGGTATAATTTCTTGAAGGTGATTTGATAGATCAGTGATTGAACAGTAGATATAGGTTGATAACCTTTCAAATACACAAACCAAATCATGAACTAATTACAGATACATCACAAATCAGTCACACATAAATCACAATACCACTCTCTCACAGAAATAATAAAATAAATGCTATTGAATCTTCAAACCAAACTAAACACGATCATTAAGTTTAACCTAGGAATTTAACAAGAAAATACCAATCCCATAATTAAACTCATGCACATGTTACTTCTGTCAACTTCAACATTCACATAACAAAATCCTCATTTCTTATTTTAAATTGCACATTACTATCCAAGTAGAACCTGAATATTTAAAACTCAATATATTTAAACACAGTCAATCATAAATTGTCCTACCAGTTGCATCTTTTCTTTGAATGATGAGGAGCTGTAATCATTGTATGCTTTTCCAGGAATAAATGAGAGAACCAATTGAACTCTCTACAAACATTTAAATGCCATGCTCTCTCTTCTTCTTCTTCTTCTTTAAGAATTTTATGGTGGTTGGCAAACCAGCTAAAAAGGTGCATTTACTGCCACCAACTGGACAGGAGTGTGAAGCGTCAACAGAGTTAAACAACTTATCTATATATTTAAAAAAAAAAAAAAAAGTTAAATCTATTTAACTATATCCTGTCAACCAATCCTGTTTCCCTTAGATAGCTAATTAAAGCACTATACAACCTTTTATCTTTCTGTGCGTTTTGAAATATGCTATCTTGTATTAATACCTACGTATTCTAATGTTTCAATAAAACTGCTTCTTTCTCTGTTGTATCCTGAGCACTGAATCATGCTCTCTCTGTGGGTGCGCAGCAGGCAAATATAGTCCCAAAAGCTACTTCCCAAAAAGTTGGTTCCACCAACATTTGTTGCATTGTTTGCCCCCTGCCCCCTGTGATTTATTTTACTTTTGTTTAAACCCAAGTATCCCAGTATTCCAATCACCACCACCATCCAACTTCATCCTGATCTAACCAGCCATCTGTCTTCATTGATCCAGTGTTAAAGGGATTGAATTCAGGCTCATTTCCTCCCCCCAAGTATCTTTTAACCTGTGTGGAATTGGTCCAGAGCACCACTCTTCCCAATTGCTGGCCCTTTGGATAAAAGCGGCCGAGACACTGAGACACCTTCTGTCATAAAATGAAAAAGCAAGGGGTACTGAGATGAGCGCTCACACCCGGGTGGTTAGTCAGGTTAGAAGACAGTGAAACATTCCTCTCATCATTCCCATGAATATTATAATGATAAGTCTTAATACACAGTGTAGAGGTGTTTCACTCCGGTCTGGAAAATGAATACTTTGTTCCACATTAAGCAGGTTCAAAATACCCTTGTCCCAAAGCCCTACAGGGGAGCTCTTTGGTGAACTTTACAGGGAGCTGCTAAAACGCCAGACAACAAGCTTCCTCGCTTCTTCTTTGGTTCAAGGAACCAAAGACATCTGCTCATTAGTTCCACTAGCCTGGGATCAGTTCAAAGATGCTGTTGCACATGTATGTATCACTGTGAGATTCTCATGATGAATAACACACAAAGAACCACTGCAGAGGCACTTTAAAATCATGTCATAATTTACTGTGTTTTCCAAACCCCATATGGTGTTTACACACTGCAAGTCTTAATACACAGATCTGATCTGTTTAGACATAGGTCAGATGACCAGATATTGGATATGTATCTGATTAAAAAATAAATTTGGATGAGACTCCGCACAGATACAGATTTTTGTGTTTAAACGTGTGCCAAAAATTCCGATCTGTTGCAAACGCAACCCTATATGACTTTATTTCTTCTGTGGAACAGAAAATAAGATTTTTTCCATACTGTGACAATGGGGTCCAAAACAACATGTTGGACCCAATTGACTTCCATTTTATGGATAAAATGTACAGAGACATTTTTCAAAATATCTTCTTTTGCAAAAATGATGGCATAATCTTTATTTTTGGGTGAACTATCCCTTTAAAGGGATATTTACAGTACTCACCCGTTAAAATATTTACTCACCATTTACTCACACACATTTCGTTCCATGCCTGACTTACTTTTTCTGTGGAACATAAAAGAACAGAATTTGAGAAATGTCTCAGGATTTTTGGATCATACAATAAAAATCAATGGTAAGGCAAAAGGGTTTGTTTACCAGCATTCTTCAAAATATCTTGTTTTGTGTTCTGCAGAAGAAAGAAAGTCTGAGGTCTGAGGACATGGAGCAGCAGCCGTTCGAAGGCCTTCATGATGTGTGATGTCAGTGCTACTGGTCTGAAGTCTCCCGGCTCCCTGGGGTGTTTTTTTCTTGGGAACTGGGATGTCATGAAGTCTTCCAGAGCACTGGGACCCTCCCAAGCTGCAGGCTCAAGTTAAATACATGCTGGAGTGGCTCCCCCAGTTCAGGAGAACAGGCTACTGGATTAGCGTCCTGCTCGCGCCGGTGCCATTTTGGATCTTGAAAAGGGAGCTGCTAAAAATGCCAGACAACAAGCCTCCTAGCATCTTCTTTGGCCCAATGAACCAAAGCAAGACATCTGCTCATTGGCTGAGTAAAGAATTTAGATTTTTGGGTGAACTATCCCTTTAAGTGCCTGATGTGTATTGATCATCACAGAGAAAGCATTGTGCTTGCTAGAAAGTTTTTTTTTTTTTTTTTTTTCAAATTGTCTTTCTAGTTGTAATTGATGGGTCTTTCCTCATCAGGATGCACAGGTTTGTTTGTTGGGACTGCAGGGCCCAGGTCTTTGATATTGACACTGCTTTTACAGACAGTTCTTTGAAGTATCACAGTAATTGAGTCCAATGGGAATCATCTTCAGCTAAGTCTGACAACACACGAGAAGCATTGGCCAAAAATACCTAAGAGATGCAGGTGAAACAGTCTGAAGTCACAAAACAAGATATCTCAATGACATGGCACACTTTTCTTTCTCTCTTTCTATTATTTCTATGAAGACAACTACTTTCCTTTTCAGTTTTTTTTTATATATTTGTCAGATTCCTTAGGCAATTATGGCAAGTTGACTTTGAAAAGCAGCACTCTGTTTGTAAGCAGATGGCAAATACTCCCTGCTAAGTCTATTGCTCCTAATTTCAAATCATGCACCGCATGATGGAGGAGGGAAGGTTGGAAAATGTATTTAACCGTTGTATCATGATGTGATTCATTATTATAGCGACAGAGAGAGATGCATGAATGCATTGAGAGAGACTGCACTAATTTAAAAACTCCTCTGAACATCCAATAATTCACGGGTCATGAACTGAGTGCTCGGGTTATAAAAAGTAAATGTCTGTATTTGAATGATGCTTGTTAAATTCTTTCTCTAGGAGGAAATTTCATTATGAGGAAATGGAGCCATTTGTGTCAGAAAATGCATTTTTATAAAATTTTGAACTTGTAAGAAATCATAATCAGATCAATATGACTTTTTCTATGACCGATTACCCTCAATACTGAACACTGTGAAAAAATATAAGGATCATACAATTAATAACAAAGGAAGATCACAGCATAATGGACTTGAATAAAAACTAGACTGACAAGCATTAGAAAAAAAAAACTAGATGGATGATAAAAAAATTAAATAAAAAATTAATTTAAATATGTATTTAAATAAAGAAAAACAAGTATAAAGTAATATAATAAATAGTGTCAATTCATAATAATGTCCACATAGCAAATATAACAAGCTGAATAATTTACAGCAAGCCAGTCATGATCACAAAACAAACATATCAATATAAATGTATGTTGTGCAAATGAATGTTAAACTGCATTGTCTCTTATTACCTGCATGACAACTGGATACACAAATGCTTTCATGTAATATCATGAGTGCGTAAAAAACATTGTAAACATTAAACAGTTTTATACTTTTTTTCAAGTGTACTGGGCTATTAAATTTAAAAGACAGAGACCAGATAATTAACGAAAAATGAGAAATATTTTTAAAGGTCCTTAAAAAAAAAGATCCTTATAAAAATGAAGATTGATGTACTGTATGTTGAAAAACATCTATACTTTTTATGCCTCATTGAAATTGAAGCCCCCCGAAGAAGAAGTTCTTCTGTTCAGGCAATTCTAATGACGGGCATTCACTCTTCAGTTTGATTAATTTTAGACTAGCTTTTTACTGTACACTGCTGTCAGCCAAGATGACGCTGTATTCAAACTCCAACAAAAACAACTAAATGACAGATTTTAACCAATGCAATCATTAAGGAAGCTTTAGAAATAATCCAAAATGTAGTTCAATTGAACTAAAGCTCTATGGAATCATATGTTTTCAATTAATTAATTACACACCTTCCTGTATCAGCAAGAGTCAAACGGGATGTCTTCAGATAAATATAGAGCGTTAAAGACACACTGAGCATGTTTTCTGAATTACGTGCATCTTTGAATGCTCGAATGATTAATTTCGAGCGCTCTCTCTGCGTTGGTGTGCACAAGCTATCTGGCTGGCAAAAATATACTCTCATGTTGAAGGCACCTTGATTTATCTGGTTTTCAGTGCCTTTTCAGTGCTAAATTTCATACAGAAGAGAACATCTCTCATATCAATACAACATTGAAATGGGTATTAATAATCCACTCAAAGGCCTGCTATTAAGGATCACTGCTCGTGCCGCACAGCACCAAATATACGGCATATCCCCCTGAGAGGCAGCGAGTTGATTAGAAATTGGTGCTGAAAATGAGAAGCAGTAACAAGGTCTACCTGCACCCATGCATGAAGTGTTCATCAGTAATTAATTGGGTTGTAGGAAAGAGAACTGTTTAACACAACGGCAGAATCCACTGAGAATGTAAACGGGATGTCAAGATGATGGACAGCATCAAAACAAGCCAATGTAGTGTATGAGTGAGGGTGGGCTGTTACCTTGGTTTGAACTGTTTGAGGGGAAGCGGTCAGTTTTCTTCAGGGTTCTGAAGTGGACACGTTTGCTGGCCTGACTCTCTCCGTACAGGCCGATAGACTGAACCTGGATGATGTAATCCATCTCCTCCTCCAGGTCCCACAGCACACAGGATCTGCTGGTGGTGTTCACCTCTCTAATAAACCTCTGCATTTTGCCGTCCATTCTCTGAAAGTCAAAAGATTGGTATAGATAACATGAAGCTGCAATTATGTTATGGTTTAGTGATGTATATTAAATTACATGTATTTACGTACTGTACGTGAATGATGCATGATGATTCTGCTCATGCTAAAGAAAGTATGTTGTTACAATTTACTGTAGGAGTAAATGCACACTGTTCCTAAGTGGTATGTATATTGGGGATTTATATGTTGTGGGTTGTGATAAGCTGTTTTGTAGTCCAGGGCTGAGTTTCCTGAAACCTTCTTAACGCTACGTCATTCTTAAGTTACACCTTAAGCTGTACCTTATTCATTAATACGTGTTTCCCAAAACATTCTTAGTTAAGTATACCTTCTGTAAGTCAAGCACTCTTAGCTATATCACTGTTGGCAGTTAACTCCGCTAGTGGGCACCACTGCAAAAAGCTATTTACATCTTAGTCTATAGGAATATTTTTTAAATTTAATACACCCAGTGTTCAATTTAAGCTAATTCAAGTGTTTTTATGCGAATAATAAAATTGTCATCACACTGATTGTTGTTAGCTTTTTAATTATATTATCCAAAGGTACATCAGCTGGCAAACCATTCGAAAGTGAAGGCTTATTCGTTTATTTAAAGAGAATGACTGTGGTGTTTAATTTAGTTTGCAATGTGTAATTTTTTATTTTTATATATATATAATATCCCATGAGTCCAAATAAATGCAATTTCCACTATTTCTGAAGTGCTTCTTTTTAAAAAACACTGCTTTCTCACGTAACGCAGTGAAGCAGGCCCTGCACGAGAGAATAATTGACTCTCGAGCCATCGATATCAACAAATTCAGCACCATCGCCACGGACAGCACTGGGTAACGTCGCATGTAAGAAGGTATATCTTAAGCGGCTTCCTAAGGCATGGTTCGAGGAACACACCTAGAAATGGTATACCTTCAGTTAAGTTATACCTTAAGAGTCTTCGTAGTGCGCTAAGAGACAATATTATCGGGAAACTCAGCCCAGGTCATCTCTAGTTTAAACTACAATGATTTAGATGTTCTTTCAAACGGCAAAAACATTTAAAAAAAAGTTCCTGTTGAATTTACAAGATCTGAAAAATCACCTTCTGAGCTTTAAGCTGGAATTCGCTGACATTTCAAACAGCTCACGCTGTCTAGACGTCAGCAATACAGTAACAGTAAGGACTTTCTAAGAGGTCACCTAATAAATATAAATCACACATTAGGGCACTAAAGGATCTTCTCGAAGCACTGAGAGCCAAACACGACAGTCTTTCATTTCAGCTATAATTCTGCGCTCTTGCTAATGTTGCATTTATCTCTGCCTCTGTTGCTCTTTAAAGTCTGTGAATAGAGCCAAAGCACTTTCCTCTGCCCTTGAGCTCTCAAGCAGCCTCTAGGTGTGGGCAGGTTTAATGAAAGTCCTTGACTAACATTAACAATGCATTCATCTGTGAGTGTCGCCTGCAAAGCCATTACAGATGTGCAGACAACTGATTGCATAACATGACTGACAGATATATTTGTAATTTGCTGATTGTGAAATAGGCGTATCACGATATACCGGTATTGACGATAAATGATTTTCGAAACATGAATATTGATATTGTGTTAAGGGTGTGACAATATACCGGTATTGGCAATAAATAATATTTTAATAACCATAATATTTTAAATTAGCACACAATCACACTTAAAAAAAAATAAGCTTGCCAGTGTGGGATTTTTTGGATTTAGAGAAAATTACTCTTTAGTCAGCCCAGTCTACAAGACTTGCCGATCAACAGTGAGGGCAAAAGGGGAAAATAGCAGCAACCTGTTCACACGTCACATTTCGTCACTATACAGAGAGAAACTTGTAATTATTTTACTAATCATGAAACAGGAAATGTTACATTTACATGTTAACTGCTAACACCTTTCTATGTTTTGTTATATTTACAGGATAATCTCATTCGGATAATTCTCAGTCTCAATGCTTTCATAGTGATGAGGGCTCAGGTTTTTAAGGGACTAGATCTTCAGTAGTGCTCTTACTGCAGGACACAATCAAGATGTCCCTTGTTAAGTTGAATTTGGACCCACCTCCTCCTGTTTTAGACCTTTCAAACCTCCTGCATCATCCAGTTGCATGGCCGGAGGACTTGCAGATACCTAGCGGTACTGACTTTACCAAAGTGGTCTTTGCATTTCGCTCAGTTCGAACTGAGTCATCCAGGTCGAACTGAGTAACTCACACAATGACAGAAATAACTGAAGAAGCCCAGGAGAAGGGACTCTGTAGCATGCCTCCTGTAATGCCATGTATTTCCTCCCTAGTGGTATCTCCAGATGAAGCCCTGAAACATGAACTCTGTTGCCCTGGAAGCACACCGGATGCCTGTCATTCAACTTCACAACAGTATAGACATGGGCAATCTTCCAGGCTCCTGCAGCAAGATACTCAACTCGGCTTGTCATTTGACTTGGGCTGTGGCTACTTCTCGGGCAGCATTTTGTGGCGTGCCCCTCTCGGAGATATGTGCAGCAGCCACATGCACATCACCTTGCAGGTTAACAAGTTTTTTACAGGATTGATGTGGCTCCTATTTCTTTCATCAGCTTCACTGTAAGGCCAGAAAACTTTTAACTGTCTTATCCTCTTGACTGGGCTGTATTCATCTTCCACCATGTAATGAAAGCGAACTTTATAAACATACTTTGACACATTTGAAAAAGTTATATATGAAGAGTTCAGATGCAAAAGCCCATAAGTGCCATTTGAAATTTTCTTCTAGAATGATAATTTTTATCAAGCTTGTATATTTAAGTTCAGTAATTTCACTTAAATGGCAATGATAATTACCTATTAATTGTTATTTAAATGAAATTACTGAAATTAAATTTAAAAGTTTGATAAAAAATCATCATTAAAGAAGAAAATTTCAAATGGCATTTAGAGGCTTTTGCATCTGAAATCTTCATATATAAAAAGATTGGTTTGTTCTTTACAAAGCAAAACTAATTAAACTTTAAAGGGGGAAAGGTGGGATACCATTTGAAAAAAAATAAATAATAAAATAAAACATTCTTTATCAATAATTTAGCATACAGAATTAATATATATATATATATATATATATATATATATATATATATATATATATGAAGAGTTCAGATGCAAAAGCCTCTAAATGCCATTTGAAATTTTCTTCTTTAATGATGATTTTTATCAAACTTGTATATTTAAGTTCAGTAATTCCACTTAAATGGCAATGACGATTACCTATTAATTGTCATTTAAGTTAAATGATTGAACTTAAATATACAAGCTTGATAAAAATGATCATTCTAGAAGAAAATTTCAAATGGCACTTAGAGGCTTTTGCATCTGAACTCTTCATATATATATTGTCACAGTCCTCCGTCTGCACCAGTCTGTCTTGTCTTCAGCACTACACTTCCCAGGATCCTCTCGTCACCCTATCCAGTGTTCACTCCCTCATCAGCCACCTGTTCCTCGTCATCGTCATCTGTTTCACCTGTCTTCACCTCATTATGTTTGATTCTTCTGTGTATTTAGTTCCTTCTGTTTTAGTCAGTCCTTGTCGGTCGATGTTGATGTTACCCTTCCGTGTGGTGTTTATGTTACGCAGTGTCTCCTGTCTTCCTGCCTGTCTTTTGATATTAAATTCTATGTTTATCGATATTTGGACTCTGCCTGTCCTTCTGCCTGCACCTGCACCGTGACAGATCGACCGACCTCCAAACATGGATTTACCAGCTGTACAGCTTCTCCTCCTGAAGCAGGAGGATCAATCCCTCGAGGCCCACACACAGAGGTATTTGGATTTGGTACCTCAGGTTCACTATGATGATACCAGCCTCTGTGTGTTCTTCCGGGCAGGCTTAAATGCTGAAACCCAGGCACGCCTGCCCGGAGAGGGGCCTCGAGGGGACTTTGTGGCCTATGTGGAGTGGGTGCTGGTGTCATGTGGATCTCCCTTTACCATGTATGACGTCACCAGCCCCACTCCATCGCTCGAGTGCTCTTCACCGCTGGTTCCGTCCAGCTCTCCAGAGATTGAATGCTCTTCGCCGCTGGGTTCGTCCAGCCCTCCAGAGACTGTATGCTCTTCACAGCTGGTTCCGTCCAGCCCTCCAGAGACTGTATGCTCTTCACTGCTGGCTCCGTCCAGCCCTCCAGAGTCTGTATGCTCTTCACAGCTGGTTCCGTCCAGCCCTCCAGAGACTGTGTGCTTTTCATTGCTGGTTCCGTCCAGCCCTCCAGAGACTGTATGCTCTTCATTGCTGGTTCCGTCCAGCCCCCCAGAGACTGTATGCTCTTCACTGCTGGTTCCGTCCAGCCCTCCAGAGTCTGTATGCTCTTCACAGCTGGTTCCGTCCAGCCCTCCAGAGACTGTGTGCTTTTCATTGCTGGTTCCGTCCAGCCCTCCAGAGACTGTATGCTCTTCATTGCTGGTTCCGTCCAGCCCTCCAGAGACTGTATGCTCTTCACAGCTGGTTCCGTCCAGCCCTCCAGAGACTGTATGCTCTTCACAGCTGGTTCCGTCCAGCCCTCCAGAGACTGTATGCTCTTCACAGCTGGTTCCGTCCAGCCCTCCAGAGACTGTATGCTCTTCACTGCTGGTTCCGTCCAGCCCTCCAGAGTCTGTATGCTCTTCACTGCTGGTTCCGTCCAGCCCTCCAGAGACTGTATGCTCTTCACTGCTGGTTCCGTCCAGCTCTCCAGAGACCGTCCAGCCTGCGCCAGAGACCGTCCAGCCTGCGCCAGAGACCGTCCAGCCTGCGCCAGAGACCGTCCAGCCAGCGCCAGAGACCGTCCAGCCAGCGCCAGAGACCGTCCAGCCAGCGCCAGAGACCGTCCAGCCTGCGCCAGAGACCGTCCAGCCTGCGCCAGAGACCGTCCAGCCAGCGCCAGAGACCGTCCAGCCAGCGCCGGAGACCGTCCAGCCAGCGCCGGAGACCGTCCAGCCAGCGCCGGAGACCATCCAGCCAGCGCCAGAGACCAGGATCCCACCCAGCCTCCCTCGCCCGCCTCCTCTCATCTGTCCTTGCTCTGCTCTCCTGCCCTTCAGCTCCCTTAAACCAGCCTGGTCCTTGGATCCCCGGTCTTCGCCTCACACCTCCTCCTCAGAGACACTTCCTCGGCCCTCTGTCCCATCAGCTTCCCCGTGGCTCCTACCTCCCTCAGCTCCTCCATGGCCCCTCAGTCCACCAGCTCGACCAGGCTCCCTCGACCCTCCGGACTCCCTTCGTTCCCTCGTCATCCTCCCTTCACCTTTGGACTTCCTTCCCTTTGCTCCGCACCGTCAGGTCACCCCCCCGGTTCTGTCGGACTCCTCACTCCCTCCAGTCACCCGTCAGCCCTCACTCCCTCTGGCCTCACCGTGTCCCTCTGTGCCCCTGTCGTCACTTCTGTCACCTGAGCCTACGGTGTCCCCATGGTCCCTCGGTCCCTCGTCAGCATCTGATGTCGTCTGCCCCTCTGCTTCACCCTGGTCTCCTCTACCATCTGCTCCGCCCCTGTCTGTCGGCCCCCTGGTGTTGTCAGCCCCGCTTCCATCGGCTCCACCAGGGGTCCTCCCTCCATCTGCTCCGCCCTGGTCTCACCCTCCATCTGCTCCGCCTTGGTCTCGCCCTCAGCCTGCTCCGCCCTGGTCTCGCCCTCCATCTGCTCCGCCTTGGTCTCGCCCTCAGCCTGCTCCGCCCTGGTTTCGCCCTCCATCTGCTCCGCCTTGGTCTCGCCCTCAGCCTGCTCCGCCCTGGCCACGCCCTCAGCCTGCTCCGCCCTGGCCACGTCCTCAGCCTGCTCCGCCCTGGCCACACCCCTCTCAGGCCCCAGTTCGTCCCCCCTCCTTCCTCTGTTCTGCGGCGTGAGGTCACGCCTCCCGGGAGGGGGGAGTTCTGTCACAGTCCTCCGTCTGCACCAGTCTGTCTTGTCTTCAGCACTACACTTCCCAGGATCCTCTCGTCACCCTATCCAGTGTTCACTCCCTCATCAGCCACCTGTTCCTCGTCATCGTCATCTGTTTCACCTGTCTTCACCTCATTATGTTTGATTCTTCTGTGTATTTAGTTCCTTCTGTTTTAGTCAGTCCTTGTCGGTCGATGTTGATGTTACCCTTCCGTGTGGTGTTTATGTTACGCAGTGTCTCCTGTCTTCCTGCCTGTCTTTTGATATTAAATTCTATGTTTATCGATATTTGGACTCTGCCTGTCCTTCTGCCTGCACCTGCACCGTGACATATATATATATATATATATATAAGATTTTAGGCTAAAAGAATAGGGTTCAAAATCATATATATAAGAGCCAAGGACTGACCAAAATGTTTTGGATATTGGGCAATCAAAAACAAATGTGCAAATGTCTCTTCTGCTTGTTTACAAAAAGATCACAATCTTAAAATATTAGATTTGATGGGGTATATTTTTTGTAATATTTTGTTGAAAAGTAATTTACCTGTTGGGAGATGGAAAAGCCAATGATGATGTCACCCTCAGGCACCTCCCAGGACACAGTTGCTGAATCAGCTCTCAGGTGCATGACCGACACATTAACAGGAGCGGGTGGACGGTCTTGAAACACAAGATAGAGTAAATTAACTTTGAATCTTTGAGCCCTAATAATTTATATAACCTGTTAGGTTTTATTCCCCTTATGCAATACTAAGCTCAAAAATGCTGCATTCGGAGGTAAGAAGACATCAAGGCACGTTTGATTGTAATGGTAGCTTCACTGTTCACTTCCTGACTCATGAGATACTTCATCTGATTGATTTTTGAAGACAGAATAGATGTGTCCTTTACAGTGAAGGACACATCTATGCTGTCTTCAAAAATCAGAAGACAGGATTGATATCCCACAATCCTGTGTGTTCCATTCTGTGACAGTTGAGCAAAAAAAATTAGATGGCATCTGAAAGTTGCAGTTGGTGGTCAATGTGTGTGTATATATAAATAACTTTTTCAAATTTTGATGTCATTTCTAGTGAGAAATTGTAGTAAAAAATATATTTGATTAGTCATCACCAAAGCTCTCTCTATTTTGATAATTAAACCATTATAAAGCCTCAGAAGTCCAAAATCAGTTTCGTGAGGTTTCTTCGTCTCCAAAAACTGTCAAAGACATTGCCTGATAGAGCAGCGAGGCAACAAGTCAGCTGCCTAAGATTTCGGATGCAGTCTATTTTATAAATTGTAGATTGATAATAATAGAAATTAATAATAGAAACATTTCCACTCTAATATTAGTGCAGAGACTAGTAAACCTCTAAAGCAATAATCTACTGTCAAACATCAAGTCATGGAGCTATTATACCTTCCCATGAAAATACAACATCTACAGGTCTGAAATATGTTGCAGTGCTCTGTTTTTATTTGCTGTCCTTTTATAGACTGTCTGAGTCACTTGCCAAGAAAGCTTTTTCAATCTGACCAATCTGATTTGGGAAGAAAAACATTCTCTCTATGGTTCAATCTCCTCTTACCAGCTTGCTCTCTGAGGGTCTACAGCTTTCTCTAAAAGCAAACCTGGTACTTACAGATGTTTTATGCAAAGCTACAGTGCATTCCTTTTTCCTTAATGGCAGTACAAACCTCCTGAGCAACATGTTTAAATTAGGATCCATTAAGCTGTTTGCTATATTACCAGTTAACCACTTCATTTGTAATTAAATGAGTCAGCGTTCAGAGGAGGCGACAAAGTGACTGTATAGAAATCAGATTGACAATGGCAAAATACACCAGTGATCAGTCAGAATTCATAAAAACTCAAAGAAATGGAAAGCGTTCTCTTCAAGGCAATATGTTTTATTGAAATTGCTTTCTCAAATTGATTGAATCCAGCACATTGTGTCCTATGTGGGACTTTTATACAGAACCTTTTTTTAATTCTCAGCTGTACGGTGCCTGATCATGATTTAGGAAGCAATAGACAAGCTAATAAGTCTATAAAAAAACAAGGAGAACAATAACAGATATCAAGCACATGGCTCTGTCACTGTGGTGGAAATAGAAAGGCAGTGACCTAGACTGAACTGCAGGAGCATTTTCTAGCATCTCCTCTGAGCAGTGCTCTAATGGACTTTGTGTGTTTGTGTGGGCGATTACAAAAAGGGGAAGGGGTGTTTTTTTTCTTTTCCTGCACCTAAACCAATGCAATAACATCAACAATAACATATACAGACTCTTAGCTAAGTTACATAACAGCTGTTTTAAAATAAGCTGTTGCTCGTTCTGTTCCAGATCTGTATGATGCATCTTTTCCAGAAGCCCACAAAGTTAACAGGCCCTTTAAAAGAGTAGAGTACAAAATAATACCTAAAAATCATATAAACACTCATATTTCTTCTGATCAATAATAAAATGGCATATATAATTAAATTTTGATATAATAAATTGTATTTAAAAAATATGGCAAATTTGGTAACACATGCCTGAAACTCATATTGTTTCTACTAATAAATGGAACATTTTCCTTCAACCACTTAGGGCTAAGCTTTTACCATCCAGAATGGTGTTCCTGTCAGTAGGTTTTCTAAAGACTAAAGTGTGTAGGGCACCATGATCGTCTTTAAAGATACCAAATTCCAAAGTCTAATAACAGTGGGTCTCATTCATGAAACATTCATAAAATATACGAGTAAATATGAGAGTGATTTGCGCGTAAAGAGACCTTCCAAAAAACTCTTCTCCTGATTCACAAATACTTTGTAAACGTCAGATGTGATAGTAAAATGTGTGCGTGTATGTGTGTCAATGAATTCCAACCAGTCGTAAATGGGATGTGTGTGCACATTCATTCTCAATTACCATAAATCCCGCCCATTATATGCAACTGACATCTATATGAAGAGTTCAGATGCAAAAGCCTCTAAATGCCATTTGAAATTTTCTTCTTTAATGATGATTTTTATCAAACTTTTAAATTTAATTTCAGTAATTTCACTTAAATAACAATTAATAGGTAATTATCATTGCCATTTAAGTGAAATGACTGAACTTAAATATACAAGCTTGATAAAAATTATCATTCTGGAAGAAAATTTCAAATGGCACTTAGAGGCTTTTGCATCTGAACTCTTCATATATAGGCATATAATAACATGAATGCGAATGAAAAAGAAAGATTTCTCGGATGCAGAAATTGAAGTTTTATTATCAGAAGTTCATTCAAAACGCCACATTTTATTTTCAAGCGTACATAGTGGCGTATAAGGTCCTAAAAAATGAAGCTTGGCAGCATACAGATGCAGTTAATGGAGTTTCATCTGTCAATCGAACAGTCCCAGAGAAGAAAATGGTTCAACATTAAGCTTGACAGCAAAAAAAACAACAACAAATTTCACTTCGGAAAAATCGTATTCAAACTGGAGAAGGACTGCCATCGATCACCAGATCTGCTATTAGGCTCTCATAATAAAAGTAAAAAGAAAAAAACCTATGTAATTACTGTATAATATTTTTTTCCAAATGCTGTATAAATATGTACCCGATTAAGGTGAATTAAAATGCAGCCTTATTAATGAGCAAAACATTCGGATGCTAAGCACACCATTTACGCGTGGCTGGGAGCAGGTGTAGATTTCTTGCGTACCAACTAACATTTGGAAAATACGAACATTTTAATGAATCCAAAAATTTACGCCAGAACCCCTTTACACAAAAATTTGTTCTGCTCGTGTCTCATGAATGCAGACCCATTGTATTTGAAGTAGGCATTCTTTTCCTGGTTTAAGAAAACAATCTTCTTCCCATTTTCCCAGAATAATGACCCATCTACCGTCCAGGCCTGTGGGATTGGCAATATACCACTGTCACTTAGGAAAGGGAACAGACAAAAACAATTTAACCAAGTTTATGGATTGACAAACTGCAGGCTACTAGATACCCAGGCCTGAACGAAGAACTTGATTTTAGTGTTTTCCTGTAAACCACACTTTTATATGCTTTATAGTGTTGTAGTATAGATGTTGTATCCCCAAAAAAGGCTTTTTAATCTTTCTTAAGAGTGCCTTGGAGTTCCCTATCGGTCAGTCACTACAACGTAGGTCATGACTGACCAATAGGAATCTCGCCAGAGAGGCCAATCTACTTTGAGTGAAACTAAAACAAGCCAATGCACATTGGCGTGCAATCATTTTCATCAGCTGTGCAGCCTCGCATTACAGGTAGGCTGGCAGCTGTTGTGATTGCACACTAGTTTTTTTGCTTCGGGGCCAAACACTTCGCTGAGTGAATTTGAAAGACAAGCCTCTTCTAGATCTCTCCACATTGGTGCAGGCGTGATGGCACAGCAACGCAAGCTGTCTTTTCTCTCTCTCTCTCTTTGTTTGTTGTTTAAAAAAACTGAGCAAACAAAAAAAAACTGTTTTCACAGCTGGTAAGGTGCGCGGTCGAGAGCTCTACGGCCTTTACACTGCATTAATAATATAATACAATTCTTGTAATGTGGGATATACAATATGTATATCCCACATTTCATGGTGCAGTTAATATTACTAGGCTAACGTTATAATAAATCCATGGTAAATGATGGGAATTTGTAGACGGAAAATCTTTCTGACTGTATCGTAGTACAAAGTGTTTCACCTGTTTGTCAGCACTGTTTCATCTGCCTTTAAACTGGTTTAAACTAGACATTTGTGTTCTTCGCTGAATTCAAGTTCTTCTCACTGGATTTCGTGAGCGAGACGATCAGAGTAAACGCATCAGCTCTAGTGACCTCGCGCAAGATGTCTATGAGCTCGCGCTGCACTGCGGTTTGGACTTTGAGCAGAGCGGATAAATGGTCCGTGTGCCAAACACATTCTCATCCTTTAGCGTCATATAGAACGCTATATGACAAAACGGCGCTATAGTACGCACATGGCACCCGTTATCGTTAATATAACACGCGCTGTGATGGTTAGGTTTAGGTGTGGGGTAGGGTAGTCTCATATTACGCGAAAGGATTTATGACGGTTCGCGTGAATATTAACGATAAAGGGTGCCATGTGCGTAATGAGTTTCATTCCATTTCCGTTTTACATTATCGAACTCTAGATCGAGTAAAAATTATATTGCGATAATTATCATTATCGTTTTAGCGCCCAGCCCTATTGTACATTAATTCTTTATTTGTCATTACTTTGTACTTTTAACACACACACACACAAAAGATTCAGATAATCGCTTTAGCACCGGATTGCAGCCCTCTGAATCATAATCGAATCGAATCGTGAGGTGGGTGCCTAGTGTTATCCAATATCTCACTGTATGGGAACAACACGGAACAACAGTGTCAGACTAACTCTGTGTAAGCCTCCTCCTATCATCCTTCCAGGCAAGGTGGTGTAAAGGTGTGGTGCTTTGGTAGGGATTCCCATTGATCAATCATTACCTACGTTGTAGTGACTGACCAATAGGTAATGTCTTAGTTATACAATGGTAACCCTCGTTCCCTGAGGGAACAGCAGCTCGTTAAACCTGTGCTGCGAGGCTGCACAGCTGATGCAAATGATTGCATGCGAATGTGCCAAGTAGATTGGCCTCTCTAGCAAGATTCCTATTGGTCAGTCATGACCTACGTCTCTTTT